TGATGGATCTATTTCTGGATTCTCAATTCTATTCCATTGGTCTATGTATCTGTCATTAAACCAATACCAGGCAGTTTTGACTACTGTGGCTGTATGGCAGGTTTTGAGATCTGGCAGTGTGAGACTTCCTACTTTGGACCTTGATTTTTTTCTCTCCATTTTCATAGATTATGAGTGCTTCAAGTACGGCTGAGTGTTGTACATCCATATGATGTTATTTAACATCAGTTGACAATCTTTATATGACAAAAGATACCCATTTTCAAATAGTATTCATCATTCATTAATTTGGTAATGTAACTAGTGTAAAAAGGGGAAAATAATTGTTAGCAATTTTGAGTACAATTTGCCTTTGGAATTTTAGGCTACTTAATTGCTTTATTCTTTTATTGTGATCTTACAGAGCAAATCATGTCGAACCAGAATTCTTTATTAAGGTTATAGACATGAACAAAATTATAAGTTCAGAATTGATAAGGTGAAAGTCAGAATGTAACTTAGATGGGGATCTGGTAAAAGGTTACACATGAAATACCAGTATATTGAGGAAAGCTCTTATCTTTTCCCAGGCACAAGGCTGCATTGCATGTATGTGAATATATTATAATTTTAACTGTGTGAGAAACTGATCTGAGCAAAACCTACTGAGCCATTTTATATTCTACCCACTCTAGGTATTTCTGGTTAGGAATGTATTATTTACCTAGAGCCATAGCAAAGGACATTTTCTCATTGCCAACCAGCTTAAATAATAGAAACTCTTATTTCTGTTGTTACGTGAGTTTTGTTTTCACAATGAACACTAATAGTCCCCTTATTTTTCTTTTAGCCTTTTATTGCAATTTGGGTGAAAGTTTACAAAGCAAATCAGTTTTCCATTCACTAATTCATACACATTTTGTTTCATGACATTGATTGCAATCCCCACAATGTAACAGCACTCTTCCCACTTCCTCCCTGTGTTTCCTGTTTCCATTGTCCTTCTTACCATTCCCTGCCAGCCTTCTGAACTTTGTCTCTGGGAAGATGCCTCCTTTTTGATCTCAAATGGTTGATTGTTCTAAGGAGTGCATACCTCTCTGGTGTTACTGTTCACCTTACAGCTCTTTCTATTGTTTGGCTGAGAGTTGAGCCATATGGGTGAGTTCAATTCCAGGCTTGAATGGGGACTAAGGGCCATAATCTAGGGGTTCCACCGGTCTCTATCCAACTAGAAAGGCTGATCTGCCCTCTTATTTCTCTGCTAGAGGAAAAACTGCTTTTGAATGGACTAGAAGGTAAATTTCCAATTGCCTCTAGGTGATGTCTCCACAAGATTAGGTTCAGTTTCAGAGCAACAGTCATAAAGTACCTGCCTTCTCCATACAGGGTCTTAAAATGAGTGTTTAGGAGATCAAATAAACCACTTTCATCTAGTACCAAAATAAATAAATCTTGTGTAAGTTAGGAACACAGCGGACAGAACTACAGATAGATGACATGGTTTTGCTCTCCTGGCCTATTCGTAAAATGAATGAAAGGCATTCTAGGGTAGAGTGGTTAAGATCACAGCCCTGGAACCAGACTCCCTGAATTCAGGATCTGGCTCTGATACTTACTAGTTATGTGACCTTCGACGTATTACCTGACTTCTTTGTGCATCCGTTTTGTTTCCTCATCTGTAAAATATTAATGATAATAATACCTAACCTCTAAGTAATTGTGAGGATTCAACAAATTAGCAGACTGCTAACCAGAAGGCTGGTGGTTCAAACCCACCGGCCACTCCTCGGAAGGAAGATGGGGCAATCTACTTCCGTAGTGATACTGCCTCAGAAACCCAAGGAGGGGTCTCTATGAGTTGGGTCCAACTCGACGGCACATAACAACAACACAACAACAAAGCACTTACAACAATTCCTGGCCCAGAGTAGGCATTTTGCTGTTATTACCATAATTTCTTAACACTGTCATGAATCTCTTCCTCCTACCTTGGGCCTTAAAAAGTCTTCCCTTCCTCTTTTCTTTTTCAGGTGTGAAGTAAGGTCAGGTCCTGAGTTCATCACGAGATCTTACAGATTCTACCACAATAACACCTTCAAGGCCTACCAGTTTTATTATGGTGGCAACCGCTGCACAAATCCCACCTACACCCTTGTCATCCGCGGCAAGATCCGCCTTCGCCAAGCATCCTGGATCATCCGAGGGGGCACTGAGGCTGACTACCAGCTGCACCACGTCCAGGTCATTTGCCACACAGAGGCCATCGCTGAGAGACTCAGCCAGCTAGTGAACCGCACATGTCCTGGGTTTGTCCCTGCCAGTAGTCCCTGGGTGCAGGATGTCCCGCACGACCTGTGGCGTGAGGAGAATGGCTGTGAGTGCACCAGGGCTGTGAATTTTGCGATGCACGAGCTTCAGCTAATCCGAGTGGAAAAGCAGTACCTGCATCACAACTTAGACCACCTGGTAGAGGAGCTCTTCCTGGGTGACATCCACACTGATGCCTCCCAAAGGATGTTCTACCGGCCTTCAAGTTACCAGCCCCCTCTGCAAAATGCCAAGGTACCTACTTCAGCTGCCTGCCCTAGAGCCTATCCCTCTTCTGCACTGTGGAAGATGAGTGGCCCATTGTGAAGGCATGTCTGGACAAGGGGACCCAAGAAAGTGTAGCTATTAAGTAACAGAGAATAGACTGAGTTAGGGCCTTCTGGGAGGTAGGAGGCTGTAGGGTGAGAGATGCATCACTGGGTCAGAGGCCTTGAGTGTGCCACCAGCTGACCCTGTGGTCTTGGGCCTCCATTGTTCCATTTGAATGGGTGATGGCGGTAGTGTTGGTGATATGATAATGGCTAGCATGATTGTGCAAGAAAATGTTTGAGGCTCCTTTCCACTCTGGCAGTTCAGGAGTCTCTTCTGTGATTCTAAGAAGAAGGAGTGAAGGACAGTAGGAAGTAATGTAACCACACTTGGAAGAGACACTGACTAAGCTATGAAACCAGCCCTGATGAAAGTGGAGAAAGATAGCAGAGGAGATAGCAGTGCAGCCTGCATAGAGCTTTGAGCTTTGTAAAGATTTTCACATACAGTACTTCTCAGTGACTTGGGAGGTAGACATTATTACTGCTTCTTACACAGAAGAGGAAGTGAAGGTTCAAGGGGTTAAGTGACCTGCCCAGTATCACACAGTTAATGAGTTTCAGTGCTGGAACTTGAACCCAAACTCTTTTGTTCCAAATCCTGCATTCTTTCAATTTTACTGAGTGAAATGTAAAGTCACTGTTGATCAGAAGGGAGGATTAAGGAGGTCAGGAAACAAATAAAACCTTATAAAGCTCTATTCTTAAATGATAGTCTAATAATTTAGAATTCACAAAGCATTTCCTTCCCATGAGCTCAGAATACAAGTCAGATATGTAACTCAATCATTTCCATCACAGAAGTTTATGGAGTTTGAGGCAGGAAGGCAGTTTACTTCTTGTAGTCGTCCTGGAGAGCTGCCCAGGGCTGCTACAGGTGGTCTTGCTGACCTTTCCAGAGCAGCCTCCAGCCATTCACATGGGCTTTTGTGGAATCTTCTGGATCAGTAGTTCTCTAATTATAAAAGCCAGTTTGACTTTTGTTTGGCAGTTTATTCATTTTTTAAATATTTTTTTTACTTATTCATCCTCTGAGCTGATTCATAACTGGTTGCAATATCACAGAGTACTTCCCCTGCCAGAGACCACTCAGTGTTATGTCTTTTTATCTGTTACTGTGAACTCATGCAATGAAAGTGTCTTTTATTATATTTTTGAAAAATCTGCTGAGAAAGCCTTCTTGGCATAGACTGCTTCCCTGGGTCTATCTTGTCAGGGATGCTCAAGTGTGTAATGGAAGGAAGTCTGGCCATGAGCCAGTGCCCTTGGACCAAAGATGCCTGTACCTCTGCCTGTATGGGCAGCTTGCCAGTAGGCTCTGAATGCCACAGGGTTTGTTCCTGACATAAGAGCCAGGCCCATTATTTTCTGCCTTATGAGTTGCAAACCAGCTGAAGAGGAAAGTTTGTTAGGGCCAGGAAGGGGTCCACCTCTCTTGTTTCTCTCAATACTTGCTGTTATCGGGTATCCCAGAAGCTGTCTTAGAAAACTCTACCCTCTTCAGGATGCTAATTCTCCAGGAAAGACAGAGAAAGGAGAATCTGCTCAGTAGAGCAAGACTTCAGCAAGGGTGGTAGTATCTGGGCCAGGCTCCAGTAGATCTTTTTGTGAAAACTGGTGTGAATAATGGGCTTCCAGTTTCATTCTTGGGCCTTTGCAATGGGTAGTAGTATCCAGAGTTAGCACTGAACATAGCAGCTAAGTAGCACTTCTCTTGAAATCTCTGGTTTGAGATAGCAGGAGTGGAAAGGGGATTTTAATACCTATGTTGGATTTCCCGAGTAGAGTCAAGTTAACTCACACATCTCTGGTAATGAGAGGTAAGGAAGCCATGAATGAAAATGATGCACAGATAATCTAGAAACTTGATTTAGTCAAGAACATCAGCCTTTATCCATCCTTGAACCTTTATTAAGATCTAGTAAACAAGCAGGGAAGCTCTGGTAGCATAGTGCCTAAGGCACTTGACTGCTAACCAGAAGCTGGTGGTTCAAACCCACCAGCCACCCCTCGGAAGGAAGACGGGGTAATCTACTTTCATAGTGACACTGCCTTGGAAACCCAAGGAGGGGTCGCTATGAGTCGGGTCCGACTTGACGGCACATAACAACAACAAGAAGCAGAGTCTTCTTCATCTCCTACTCACCTTCAAAAAGCAGAGAGAAGAGAGTCCAGGATCTAAATTCATGGGGCTGAACTACTGCAGGTGGAGACAAGGAGTGTTAATGGGACTGCCCTGGGCTTCAGTCAGGACAACAGGCTCTTCTGCTCGTTATTTGACCTTGGGATACTCATTTGAGTGCATTTAAGTTTGGTTTCCTCACCTGCAAGCACCAACTTAGGCTCTTGATTTCTAACTCCTTTTAGCACTGATTTTAAAAAGGGGTGTTTACCACACCCACTTTTCTTACCTCTTCTCCTTCCATTCACTATTTGTACTTAAAGAGGTGTGGCTCCTCCAATGGTGGTCTACAAAATAAAAACAAACAATTCTTAGACTTCTAGCTCCAGAGGATTCTCTCACTCACTTCCCAGGTCTTAATAGGAGTTACTTATTCTGTTCAGTGTCCACCCAGTGAACAGGGCTGTCTGTTGGCAGAGCAACACACACTTACAGCTACTGGAGGGATAATGTCTTGAACTTGAGAAAAGTGAGAATTACTAAACATTGGCATGGGAATTAAGGTTGGCATTTGTAGGGCTGACCTTTTAGAATTCTTTTAAGCCAAGAAGTTGAAAAGTTACTTGTTTTTTTAAAAAAATACAGTCTGGATAAACTGACAAGAATATGGACTCTGGAACTGGTAGCCAATCCTGGAATCTAGTCTTCCTGGTGTCATTGGCTATGTGTGTTGGTAGTGCTATCTGACATCATGAAAAACAGTACCCCCATAAAATGGTAGAGAGCTCTGGTGGTGTAGTGCCTAAGCATTTGACTACTAACCAGAAGGCTGCTGGTTCAAACTCAGCAGCCACTCCTTGGAAGGATGTTGGGGCAATCTACTTCCATAGTGATACTGCCTTGGAAACCCAAGGAAGGGTCGCTATGAATCAAAATTGATTTGACAGTGGTGAGTGTGATTTTTCTGTTATAAAGTGGTAAAAATAAAAGAATTGATTATTCTTTTATTGTGTGTAATAATGTCTTCAAAGGAATCCTGGCCCAAACTGCCTTCTCCCCCAGTGGTAGTAAGTAAGTTTCTGGACCTGTATCTCTTAGAGGCCGGGGAACATCAAAATGCTTTGTGATGCCCAGCTATAAAGCATGTCTTCCCATTTCCTTCTCCCTGCTCTGCTAAGGCAGTGTGGGAACATTTACCTAGATTTTTAAGTAGTAGATGTTTTAAACCCTAGGCCTTGTTCCCTGATTCCAGAAATATTAGTGGTAGAAAGGACCTTAGGTAGTATCTAGGATATATTAAACCAAAAAACCAAATCCACTCCCGTCGAGTCAATTCCAACTCATAGCGGCCTGCAAGGGGTTTCTGAGGCAGTAAATCTTTAGGGAAGTAGATTGTCCAGTCTTGCTTCTGTGGAGTGGCTGGTGGGTTTGAAACACCAAACTTCTGGTTAGCAGTCAGATGCCTTCAGCACTGTGCTACCAGAGCTTCTTGTTGTTGTTGTTGTTGTCATATGCCGACGAGTTAGGATATACTAATTTTAAAAACAAAGAAGAAGGGTACTGAATGACATAAATAGTATGATACCATTTATGTAAAAATAATAATAAAATAAAAAGATATGCTTTCAAAGGAATAGTGTTTCCAAAAGTACACATAGGAAACTTTATAATGGTCACCTATGAGGTTCAAGGGAGCTCTGGTAGCATAGTGCCTAAGATACATGGCTGCTAACCAGAAGGCTGGCGGTTCAGACCCACCAGCCACTCCTCGGAAGGAAGATTGGGCAATCTACTTCTGTAGTGATACCGCCTCAGAAACCCAAGGAGGGGTCCCTATGAGTCAGGTCCCATTCGATGGCAAACAACAACATGAGGTTCAAATGCACCAGTCACTCCTCAGAAGGAAGGTTGGGCAATCTACTTCCATAGTGATACCACCTTGGAAACCCAAGGAGGGGTCACTATGAGGATCCAACATTATAGCAGGGAGTTTGTTTTTCTTTTTTTTTGGTTGGTTGTTTATGAGGAAGGTAGCTACATAGCTGGAAGATGTCAGACATCAGACAGATGCTTCTCACTACATACGTTTTTGTACCTTTTGAAATTTGTACCATGATCTTTTCCTAAGCACAATTACCACACAAAATGAAAATTGGGAGAGGGAGGAAGCTGGAACTCAGAGGCTTAGAGGAATATGAGGAGTCACAGATCAATATGGTGGCAGAGCTTGGGGAGGACCTGGCCTCCAGAGTCCCCGGCTTGCTCTCAGACAACTTTGACTTCCTATAGACCAGCCTGGAGGGCTAAGGGGCAGGCTCATGAAAGGCTGGCTCTAAGGAGCTGCAGCCTGCTCATCCTCACAGCTCTGTGAGCTAAAAGGGACCATTCTTCTTGTGTTGCTCTTTGTGTTGTACCTCTTGGCTTGCAGTTCACTGCAAAATCATCAGGATGTTTTTAGATCCCTTCCCCAGGACAGCTATGAATATGAATAAATAGACTTAGACATTGGTGTCTTTCCAGGCATAGCAAAATGAAAAACCACTGTTTTCTCTGCCTACTGCAGACTGTGGCAGTAGGTTTTTTGACCTGGTGGCAGCTGTTGGGGTTGAGAACAGGAAGAAGCGCTGGTGGGAGCATTTCTGAAGACCTCACAAGCATGTCTGTGAGAGGTTATAGCCCTTCTTCTTTGAACTCTTGCCTTACCTAATTTCTGGTCCATAGAGACCTGGCTGAAAATTAGTTTAAATGCTAAATTGAGTTTGAAACCACTAGTCTCAGGCCCCTCTGGAAATGGACACCATGTT